GAGGGGAACATTTTAATGGGTCTGAATAGTTTCCGTACCCAGTACTGTATATCTTTGGGGGGTTTTTTGTGCAGCATGTGAGGCTTTATTAAACATTCTAGAATCTCTTCTTCTTACTTTATCATTATAAAAGTTGTTATTAAAATGGATATTTTAGTTCTGTATCCTTTTAACCCTTATATAATCATCCAAATTTTAAAGCAAAATAATACATGGTGATATGAGAGAAGACTGCAACATCTATAAATATTTCTATCTGAGATTTCTTAGCCTCATTTCTATATAGTTTGTATGCGGGTTCTAATAGAGTGTGTCATCTATGAATTGTTAGGTTTTATTATTTATACATCATGTGCACTGTTAATTTGTTAGTCAGATTAGACAGAGCAGAAGGCCTTCCTTCACATTGTGGATGTCGTGGTGTGTACGGAGGTCATCTAATCAAGACAGCCTTTGTGTCTTTAAGAATACTCAGGATATGGGCACATCTTGGAGCCGGACTGATAGGAGAGAGCTACTGTATCTGTAACCCTGAGACAGAGAGGCAACTTGCATGGAGTTCAAGACATGGATGGCGTGTCAGTTTCTGATACGGACAGCTAAGCATCCACATGATGCAACACATAGACTCACAAGGTATAAGAAGCAGGTGATGACCTTGTTCGGGGCTCAAACTTTGCCGGACGCTTGTGGACGTGATTTTTGAGACCACAGCTGTGTATAGCTCTAAGCATTTTTCTCTGTCCTGTAACGACCTGATCTAGAATAAACTCTGTTACTTTTTTACTCCTGTTTTTATAGTCCTTTTTTATATGGTTTTAACGAGTTTGAGTTAAGAGTAGTAAATAACTTGCTCCCAGGAAAAGAACCGTGTGAGGAGGCCCCGGGGCGTTACAGCCTTTACTTTGAAGGGGACAAATCCTTCTCACTTTAACAGAATAAATATAAACAAATTCTCTGTCATTTCAGGATTTGAACTCTATTGAACCTAAGTGTTATAAAACAAATCTTCTTAACATAACAAAACTTCACAAATAGTTTCTTTTTTTAATTAGCTCTTTAAAATGCACAACTGCTAGCGGCTAGCTTCGCCATGCTGGGTGTAATAGTGTTTTTCTTTGTCTAGAGTACGCCTGTTTATTAAGAATCCAACATTGGCTGTTGGTAGCATTTCATGGATAGTGAAACACTGGTGATTTAGCTGAGAAATCTATGAACCTTTATACAAATAATGCATTATTTTCTAGTTATCTAAAAGTAGAAGTCTGTGCCTTAGATTTCCAATGCCTGAATTTAAAATGCAATAGAATGTAGTACAAATTAAACTCTTCTTAAACTTTTTGAAGATATCTGAGGGCTATAAAACTGATCACTGATGACAAACTCATAGATTTAATTATTCAAACAATGCTTAAAGTTCTTGTTTCTTCAGTGGTTGTTTTTGAAGTTTTCTCTTGTTATTAAATGATTAAATGCAATGATTTTGTGTTCCTTTACTTTCTTAGTCCAGCTCACATGTTTTCATCTATTTGGTCCCATCACTTTTTTTCTACTTTGCTCATTCAGTTTTCTCTGCTCTTTTAAGTTGCACTCCTCAAAATAATTCCGTAAAAGTTTAAAAATAATAATAAATAACAAAGTTGGTTTCCTAGATTTGAAGACGTTTCGCTACCTCTCCAGGAAGCTTTCTCAATTCAAATGTCTGGATCCACAGTGAGTTTGAGTCTTTATATAGACAAGGCCTTGTATCGCCTGGAAACATGCAAATGGAAACCGATGAGTGGGTCATTTGGTTCCATTGTTAACCTGTAATATCTGAAACCTGTCTATGATTCTGAAGGTCGGTCGTTAAAGGGGGGGGGGGGGGTGTCGTTAAAGGGGGGATTGTCTCCTGTAATACCTGAAACCTGTCTATGATTGTTAAGGGTCGGTCGTTAAGGAGGTATTGTTCACTGGCTGGAGCGGGGAGGTACTTTGTTCCTCTGTGATGGGGTGGGGGGTGTGGTGATATCTGGAAGGGATCATTTCTATAACTGAACTGTAAGTTTATGGAAGCTGGAATCTGAGTCCACCACCTCTGTTTAAAGTTGTTTTTTCTCTTTTAACATAGATGGCTTCCTTCACGCCCCTCTCAAACCACCTATTTTCTTTAACCAGAATGTGAACATTCTGGTCCTCAAAAGAATGTCCTTTGTTCACAAGGTGTAGATGTACTGCGGAGTCTTCTGTGTTAGGCCATGCGTCTGTGGAAAGGTTGTTTGGTTTCTCCAATATAAAGATCAGAGCATTCCTCGCTGCACTGAACAGCGTATACCACTCCGCTCATATTCGGTCTGGGGGTTTTATCTTTAGGATGTACTAGCCTCTGTTTAAGGGTTTTGTTTGACTTGAAATGTACTGGGTTTTTGTGTTTAGAGAAAATCCTCTTGAGTGTTTCAAACTCTCCAGCGACATAAGGGATTGTGATGTTTTTGCGTTTAATTTTCTCATCACCATCTTCTGTTAGGTGTCTTTTGGATTTCCTTGCTGATTTGATAAATGCCCAGTTTGGATATCCACAGTTTTGTAGAGCATCTTTGATGTGTTTCTGTTCTTTGTGCTTCCCTTCTGTTTTAGTAGGGACATGTTCTGCCTGGTGTTGTAAGGTTCTCATGACCAGAGTTTGTGTTCCAGTGGGTGGTGTGAGTCAAAAAGAAGATACTGGTCTGTGTGAGTAGGTTTCCTATACACTTCAATGTTTAGGCTTCCATCTTCTTTCATGCTCACCAGACAGTCCAGAAAGGGTAGTTTGTTGTCCTCAGCATCCTCTCTGGTTAATTTGATGTTATGGTCAACAGAGTTGATTTGTCTTGTGAAAGCTTCCACTTCCGTTAGCTGGATTTTGACGAATGTGTCATCCACTTATCTAAACCAGTGGCTTGGAGGTGTTCCATTGAAAGTGTCTAAAGCTCTCTTTTCCATTTCTTCCATGTAAAGGTTGGCTACAATTGGTGACACTGGAGATCCCATTGCACAACCATGCTTCTGTCTGTAAAAATTACCTCTGAATTTGAAATAGGTATTGGAAAGACAAAGGCCCAGTAGTGTGCAGATCTGGTTCTCAAAATAACCTAATCTATCAGCAGCAAAAATCTCATCAAATGTTCTCCCTCTCAGATCCCAAATACAAAGGTTTAAATGTATATTTAGTGTTAAAACTCTCAGCCTTTTGCTGTTTTCTCTACTTTTATATACATACATCTTGAATTTTGGACAAAAAAAGGGATTTGTTTTATTGTTATATCTGTTAGAGCTATGTTTTTGCTTTTTTTTGTTGCAATTAATCTATCCATCTTCTCTAACAGTGCATTTCCACAGATTTGGAACGAAGCAAAGGGTCATGCTTGCATTTAATGATTACTTCCAAAGTCCCTTGACTGAAAAACAGAATCTCAGATTTGCTGAACCATACAAGCTTGATAAGGCTCTTTCCTTACCAACCTGAATTTGGAGATTAAGCAGAGTCACCCTGTTCCTGCAGCAACGGTGGGCAACTCCTCCTCATATTACAGCAACAGCATGTTTTCAAATTCTAACAACAACCAGCAATGACTGGTTGGTGTTCTTTCTCTCTCTTAGTTGATCTCCTTTCTTCTCTGATACAAGTGAAAACATTCACATAGTGCCAAGTACTGTGCAAAAAGATTCTACTAACATCATGCTGTTGTTTTTTGAGCAAAGGAAATTTAGAGAAACACTTCTAGAAGCTTATGTCTGGTGACAATAATACTGAGCATAACATCTAAATAATGTAATTTTGTTGATAGAAGAGGAAATAATAAGGAGCCTACCCCCCAAAATGAGTACCCTTTCATTCTGCAATGAAAACATTGTCAGTAATTTAATATGAAGGGATCATAGGAGACCCAAAATAAAATGGATTTGTTCATTTGTTTGTCTTCCCTTCTTGATCCTAAGTACGTCTTAAATCTATTGGGGAATTTGTTCTTTGCAGAGTCAGAAAACTAGCCCTCTAAATTGCCAATTATACTAAAAGCTACATTTGTCTAACACCATGATTCAATTTACCCAAGCAAATAAAGCTTAAATTACTTTTTCATACTTTAGAATACAGATCAAACTGACTATGCATACTGAGGTGACCAACCTTTTGTTTTTCTTTTTATTATTTTTTCATTATTCATTATTATTACAACGAGGTGACAGCACAGGTATGAGTCAGCTTTCTGTGGACTGCCCTTTTTACCACTTAATGCAGCCCTAATTGCTGTGATGCTGCTATGAATTACTAATACTCTAAAGATAAAATCTGTTTTTATCAATAATTCAGTTCAATTTAATAAACGGTTTAAGCTTATCATAGATTTTAAGTAAAGGCAATAATTGCAGGCCAGAAATTCCTTTCCTCAGATCCTTCAAGCACCAAAGACCAAATGTGATAGTTATAACAAGTCCAGTGAGTATTGGAGCCTCTGTTATGTCTACAAAAAAAAAAAAACTCAAAACAAAGCTAACAGGCACTAAAAAGCAGTAGCATTTTACCATGCTGCCACAGATTGCAAAGTCCCTCTCCTTACTGTTGGGATTTCACTCTTTCAGGCATGATCTATATATCCTGAACACTAATGAAAATTGGAACATAGGGGAACTGTAAAATCATGAGCCTTGTGTGGTACACTTTGACAGTCCTTAGTAGCATCTGTGTTATGACTATTCAGTCATAGTCATAGCGCTTTAGAAAAAAGCCCTTTGACCCTTGAAAATTTACTTTTTTCTTACATCAGTTGTAAATTTTTAACACCGTTAATGCAACTCTCCTTGGTTATAAGATAGACTTTTATCGATCAGATCAGTTAGAGTATTCAATCGAGGTTGAAGCTTTTATACGGCGCTTAATGTGCCTAATGTCTGTGTCTTCTTGCCGGCCTTACCATTTATCACCTTATTTCTTCCTTTATTTCTCTCATTTATGTCTCTACTTCTTTGTCTATTCTTCCTAGAACTAATCAGGAATGCCCAAAGAAGTCATCACCTGCAGAAAGTGAGAAAGGCTCTGACAGTGATGTCCAATAAGTGTTGGCTAAACTACAAAGGGGATCAATAATGGAAGAATCCCCAGAGTTTATTGGCTATTGAACTTCTGTCTACAACTTTTATATACAAAAAACAAAAAAAACGTTCTAAATCTGCTACAAAGACACTTGGATTCATTCTGGTAAACAAAGGCTGGAACTTTTTTCTCTCTGTTGGATATAACCTTGCTGAGGCTGGCTGATGTCATCGCTAGCCTCCATCCCTTTCAGCTCCTCCGGGGGCTGAGCCAATCTACAGAGGAGCATGGGCAGGAGAGTGGCGGATCCAACTAATCCTGTGCCTGCCCTGGGAGTTCCTCTGGCTGGGGGGCGATGGGGTCCACTTTGCAGCATTGGGGTGCAGACATCTCCCAGAATGCAGACTCTTCCCTTAATCAAACGACATGGCAGCCAACAGCCCAACATGCATCAGCCCCTCACCATGGCAACAGAACAAGCACTAGCATCTGGCACAGGAAGAACTATCAGAAGTGACAGCAAGAGCCTGCCAGTGTCAAAAGAGACATCTCAGAACGAAATCAACAGCCTTACACAGGACGACATGGGGTCCCAAGGGTCAGGGAGTGGAGTTTATTGCCAGATTAGGACCATGCAAACAAACCCCAAGGAAACAAAAGACAAAAGGACAACTCGGTATATTAATGGAAGTGTAGTAGCCTCAGATTTGGTGGGAGGGGTTTGCAGTGAAGCTACAGAAGATAAAGAGCCAGTCCAAGAGAGGAGAAGGGTGCAGTCATTGCGAGGAGACAGCCATCGCTCAGTGTTAAAAACATCAAGTGTTTGTTCAGCTGCACACGCCACCACACCTCGGCCCTGCCGAATAATGGCAACCTCGCCACAGCGTCTTTGTGCGACATGTGGGAGAAGACGGTCTCAAATTACACAGTGCACAGGTGCTTGTCGCAGGAGAGCAGTCAATCAAATAACAGCAAGCCAGACTTTACCAAATCCAGCACGGAAAACATCTGTAGCTCCTCCCCAGTCAAGAAAAGCCTCTGCTGCTCTGAGCTCTCAGTCTTGTTCCAAAAGCACAGACAGAGCCAACCCACAGCAGCACACATCAAAAAAGACTGCTCAAATAGGCCAGCTGTCCCACACAATGCCAAAAACACACAGTTCACAGTTTAACCACACAGTAAATAGTCATAACCAAACAAAAGACTCAAAGCTGCAGTTAAGACCCCATTCTGCAGACTTTACATGTTATAAGGACTCAGCCACACAAACATTAGAGACACACATAGACTCCAACACAAACAGGACAACAGCTAACACAACACCCACACAAATCACTGAGGCAACCCCACCACATCTAACAGATAAACCTGATCACAATCAGAATCAAATCCAGAAAACTAATGAATCACTCCAAAACATTTCAAAGGCTCAAACGCCATGCTCCCTCCGTGAGTCAAAATCCAGCAGCATCCCACTTCTTCCACCAAAACAGTCTCCTAAGGCGACCTGTCCTACACCAGCTGCACCAGCAGAGCAAATCAAAAACCAAGAGGCCACAAAGTCCCCTAAACAATCTTTGGAAAGGATCAAATTCAAGGATACAAAGCAGAAGAGCAAATCATTTGATGACAACACTCTGCCTTGTAAGACTCATATGAAAGCACAATGTAACGGAGCACCCGGTGGACTGTTAGACAGGACTTCACTGAAAGCGCCACCTGGGCTGGAGAGGCAACTGCAGAGTGTGGAGGAGAACCTTCTGTCAAATCAGGAGAAGATCAAGGTGCTTCTCAATGTGATTCAAGACCTGGAGAAGAGCAAAGCTATGATGGAAGGGTGAGAGCATTGGGGCATTAGAAACTAAAGAGCAAGGAGAAGGGGGAGTTAAGGGGGATTTTAAAAAAGGTAAGAAGTTTAGGAAAAGGAAATAAAGAGCAAAGCCAGATGCTGACTATCCAGTACTTAAGACATTAAGAAAGGAAAAAGATGCGATTCAGTAATAGAGAAACAAAAAAGAACACACTGCAATAGTAAGTGTTCAAGCAATAGTGAGATGGAGTGATGAAAGAATAAACAGAGGGAGCAAAGAGATTGTCAAGGGAGCGCAAAAGATGGAGAAGAGTATATTTGAGTTTCTATTGCATTATATGCTGAAAGGCTTCCAAGGTTTTGTAATAGCTTTTTAAATGTTAGGTCTATAGAAACACTGTGTGTATATATGTGCCTGCCAATTGTCTGATACAATTTGCTTACTTTTTATAAAATTAAGTGATCCTTACACCTCCCCTGTACTTTTATTTTATTCACCCTTTAGAGCTGCAGTCACAGTTAAACATTATGATTTCCCAGAAAAGCTTAATAATCCCTTTTTGTTTATCTGCAAACCCTTAAACCCTGCTGTTCCAATTGCTTTAGCAACTGTTTATCTTCCACCTTTAGATCTTACTCCACTTCACTGTTAGCATCTCTTTATCTTCCTTCATCATAATTTTCAGTTCCATCCATTAACCATATCTGTCTCTAAAAGCTGTAAATAAAATCTGCCTTCTTACCATCTGCAATATAACAGTGAAGTGTACCAAGGTACTATATGTTACTAATTCTATCAATAGCACTATGAATCATAAACTTAAACACATTGTTTTACAGCTATGTACACCTGTGTGCCATTACACAGAGAAAACCTAAAGTGACAAAATTGTATGTATTTTGACCATTACCTCCTCTGAATAAATATACATATTTTCCAGATGTATCTACTTTCTAAATCAATAACTGCTAAAATGGCTACATCTTTACCGTTAGCCCATTTTATTGCACGTCCTTCTGGTTAACAGATGGTTTCCGCTCAAGACTAATCCCTATAAGATTACCCCGCAATTAGTGATTAAGCTGCACAATAAGACTCCTAAACCTGGAGTTTAAGCTGTCTTGCCCCATATAATTTCATGAATCAATCCTTTTGGGTGTGTGTGTTTGGTTATTTCTGACATTAGTGGGCAGACTGGGAGACAGACAAATGAGAGACAGTGAGACACAAAGGCGGGAAGTGAGAGATAGACATAAAAGAGAGTCGGAGGGTCTGTGTCTATCCGTTACAGCAATGACAGCACACCAAGTGGACCGCTTTGATAAAGGCATCAGTTGAGCTTAAAGTTTGCCGCTGTGATCTGTTTCGTGTATTATTTTTCATCCTAAAGCAAATATTTTTCTTCACTGCTGTTGCCTTTGATAAAAAGGTTGGTGGGATGGAAGAAGAATGATGGCAGTGATACTGTTTCCCTTAACATAGCTGTAATTAAAATGTCAACTTTATCAACATTAATCAGTTACTCCTTCAGCTAATCTGTTCAAGCAAAGGCCATCCAAAGCATCTTGGCAAAACTTTTGATTACATTGCAGCGATCATTAGCTTAACAAATTCTCACACTGTGATTTTGTATCCTTGTTAACACTTGATAATGCAGTTAGGATATTTTCAACTTAATGTCACAATTTCAAAAAAGAAAGGAAAACAAGATTTGATTTAAGTAGAACTTTAGCATTTAAGTTTGTTTCATGTTATGTTAAGCTCTACCCAAAATACTCAGACATAAATTAGATTGTCTTGGATTACCTTTAGAGACTAAACATTAGAACATTATCCCACACATTTGTGTTATTTTTAACAATTGCAATTATGTAGCATAACTATGAGCTGTACAGACAATCAAACTCTTAATGGGGATGACAGATTCATACAAAATGTGTTTTTCTTTATCTAAAGAAGGGGCATAAAACTCATTATTATATAAGGTGATATCAAGATCACAAATGTCACAGTGCTGTACTGTACTCAACGCGCACGTGGGCATTGTCAGTTTAACTATGGCTCTCGCGAATTTCAATGAAGTCCTCTCGAAATCTTAAATAGTTTTTGTTGATTTCCAATGTGTCTAGTAATTCCAATTGACTTTGCTTATAAAGCGGGGAGAATGGCCCTAGGCTGACCACACCATGACGTCACTGCCGAGATGTCATGAGTGAGGCATTACTATATTAAGGCAAAAATGGTCGATCCCGGACTCAGTGAACACAACGAAAATTATTGTTTTTATCTTTTTATTGATTAACGCTAAATTCAACTATCTTATATTCAACCATATTGTAAATATATTTTCTATCACAACGGAAAATGTGGCTTTAGGGTAATACAAAGTAACAAGCGGCAATGCGATGAATATAGTAAAGGGAAAGCTGCCATCTCATTAAAAAACAAATTCTGGGACTCTGACATTTGACATTATCAGACTATTAAGTTGGATGCCAACCACTTCAGACCTCTTTACCCTCCAGCCGCACCATTTGATGCGATGTAAAATTATTGTGGTAAATTTCTGGTGCAGCACAAATGTGGGGTGTGAATTGTGGTTATTTATTTTTTAAACTTTTCTTGAGGATGTGCAAGACCTTTATGCAGATCTATTACCGCAGCATATGTAAGTTAGGCTAATTAACAGCTAAAACAGGCTGCAACTGATGTTTTAGATCATAAAATTACAATGATGTGGGCAACACAGTAAATAAATGACATACAAATGAGCTACTGTCATAAAATATACAATTGCTTGCTACTCAAACAGATTACGGATAACCTGATGCTAAAGGTAATCTATCTAATACTGCACCAGGCAGTTACTCTGTCTGCATTGGTGAGAATGAACTCACTCATATGCATATATACACACAGTCATGGACAAAATCAACTAAGTAGACCACCCTTGTTTTTGATTGATCATAGTTATTTTACTCTTCAGGTAATAAATCTTTAAAACAAGATATTAAAAAAACAAAACAAGGGTGGTCTCACGATAGAAAAACATGATGTCAAAAAATACAGCAACTGTTATTCACTATTGTCAAACACACTATGCATCGTGTTTTTTTTTTTTTTTTTTATGTTTTTATGAACGTTGACATTTGTCATTTCTGCAGTCGCAGCTCATACAGAACTGGCCAAGACATAAACAACTGCTCCACCTGCCAGAAGACAGCCTGCATCATTTACAGGTAACCAAAATAAAGTAAGGAACCCAATATATATCCTATCCTAAACAGAAATAACTCAAACCTTGTTGGATGCTTTTTGTAGCCCATTTTTTTTTTTACATTTATTTGCATTGCACTGAAATAAATGATTAACTCCTAAATATCATTTATAGGGAAACTTAATTTTATGAGTTCACTGAGGTACTGCTGTGGGAAAGCAAACTGTGCATGCGAGTTAGACAAAACTTAACTACAATAAAAAATATATATGTTTAACGCAAACAGGCCATACATTGATGAAAGGAGAATATGATCGTTCCAGTTCCTGTCATCTAATATGTAACTTGTCTAAAAAAGTCATTCAACTGTAATATGCAATTTGTAAAGTTGCTCTTCTCCTGCGTTTAGTTTCTGCAATCACTTCCATCAAATCTTATATTCCATTCACATATATCAATTATAAATATGATTCCATCTGTTCATTCTGTCCATGCATCAATGTTTGCCATCAGTGCCTCGCATTGAGCCATGAGATATACACTTGAGGGAGAACTATATATAGTCATGTGTGTTTCAGGATAAAAGACAGAACAAACACATATTCACATACCCACAGCACACTTGAAAAAAAGAAAAGAAAATATGCCTCACATGCCTGGATTTCCTTTAAAACACTGTGTTTTAATCAATAATTTACTTTATCCGCTACAGAGAATTAACAACTGTATAAGTAGTTAATTCTCTGTAGACAAAGAGATTCTTCTGAACAACGATGCTTCTATAGTTTTCTTTATCTTAGTAAGCAATTTACTTCAGCTTGGTTTTCCTATATTTACGTGCCTCTTCTCTTTATAGCTTCCATACAACTTATTCTCTTTCTCTGTGCATCCTTTTTTTCCCTTTGTTCCAAGTTAAGGTTAGTTTACAGTTAGAAGAACAGTTATATGGTATAACACACAATATATGGATCTACACTGATCAACAAAGTCGACCATGTTGATTGACATTGTGATGAAACACAAAACTTCAGTTAGCTGTGAATTCTAAATAAACCAGTAACAAGTCCAAGATCGTTCAAATACCAACAGCCAGCCAGCCCCTATGCTTGACCCTAAACATGACAAAGCATTTAGAGAAAAAAGAAATAAGGCTATAGCACAAATAAAAACATTCCCAATTAGATCCAATATATCTGTGAATTGTAGAAGAATTTTGTGTGTTTTAAGCGCAAAGATATACAACTTCACTTCACAAAAACTAGCCTCTATCTTTTGAAAGTAAATTAAAACATGACTGCACTTTAAATTACACAACATTTTGCTTAAACAAGAAAACACACAAAAAGCTTTTTCATGCAAATTTAATCAAACCCCTTAGAGGCTTTTCAGAGACAGTGCAAGAGTAATAAATTTGATGAAAAAAAAATACATTGAAAAGTTTGAGAATGCTTTTAAGAGACCACCAAATGCACTGAATTCCCAAAGTGGCACTTTAAACACAAGAAGAAAATAAATGAATTTTGACTATATATGAAAAGAAAGTTTTGAAACAGAGCAATAATTTGGTTTTTAGATCTGCTTAGTTGATTAAACACAGATTTTGCCTTATTTTTATTGAATTTCTCTAAAAATTAAACAACTTCTTTATCCTCTAGTCATTGTGTTATTGTTTGTTTTTATTCTTTAGATAAACTTCTACTGTACATGCTGATCAATTTCACAAAGGATCAGTTAGGTACATCTGAGAAAATAAAATAAACAAAAATTTTGAGGACTCATAAATAGGTACCAGTTTCTTAATTTTAAAATGTTAACGACTTTGAGATGAGTGCTTCTGTATGTCCATTTAGTTCTCTTTCGTATGTATTATACAAGCAGAGGATAATCTATTTTTGGGACTGACATGTTCATCTAAATGACTTGCACTGACAAAAACTTTGACATCACATAGCAGAAAGGAAATCCTTTTTTATTATGTGAGGAAAACTTTTACAAACTCCTCTTTTTATCCATCACTTTTCCCCTAAAATCACTGAATGTTTTTCACGTGATCAAGAGCCTGTAAAGACCATCAAGACTCAGTTCACTTCGGCTTTAATCATTTAATCATATTGTTAATGTAACAATGTTGGCCATATACAAATAGATAATATGTTCAATTTTTTTTTTTTTTGCATTTTTAACTGGACTATTTCAGAAAGTTATTAATATTTCTCTTGCTACAGATACCAACATGCTTTTAACAAGCTATAGTTCAGCCTCTCCAAGAAAAACACAACTGGACCCAATTGTTAAGGCTAATTATAGACCTATCTCTATACTTTTTCTTTCAAAAGCTTTAAAGAAAGTGTTTTTGTAATAGTTTCAGTCCCATCTTGATTTTATTAGAATTTCATTAAAGCTACAAACTGGTTTTAAATCACTTCATAACACTGAGACCTCCCTCTTAAGAGTTTTTAATGTTATTCTTTGAACTTTTTATTCTAGCGGCTTTGATAGCAACTTTTGACACAGTTGGTCATGACACCCTCCCTGGGGGGCTAGAATTGTGTGTTGCGATTAAAGCTTCTGCTCTTTATTGGTTTTAGTCATATCTCTCTGAAAGGACTTTTTAATGCAAACACAAATCCTTACAGTAAGCTGCTTCAGTTGTAGTATGCCCCAAGGCTCAACTTTGAGTTCAGCCTTGTTTGTACTGTATGTTTCTGTATAAGATCTATATTTTTAAGGATTAATTTTTTATTCCATTGCATTTCATTTAACTGTTGTCGTGATCTTACCTTAGAAGCAGGGAAATACTGTTTTAGCCATTATTGAGCTGCCTTGGTGACATTAAACAAAGGTTGTCCCTAAACTTTCAAAAATTAAATGAAAACAAAACAGATTGTTTTTTTGGGAGCTCTCTAACAGAAAGAGCTTTAGGCGTATCCTTCTACTTCAAAGATAATATCACACACATTGATATTTTTCTCAATGGTTCCTTTAAACTGCTGATGCAGGTGAGTGCAGGGATCTTGCTAAGATAAAGTAATACTTTTGGGCTGATGTATTTGAGCAGGTCATACTTTACTCCGTTACCTGCAGATTAGACTAATGCAACTCCTAATACTATAGCCTCCAGTTAGTACAGTTATGCAGGTGGTTTACTTACATGTGTGAAACTAAATTAGTGCAATACCCCAGAATTTTCTTCTCTTCATTGGCTTTCTGTCTATTATAGCATGCGATTTCAGATTTTACTTTATGTTTTTAAAAATGTACATGGTCTTACATGGTCTGAATAGTTTTAAATCCATGCACTGAAAAGTATACACAAAAAAAATAAATACTCTCCATCCTCCACTTTACTGGTTCCCAGGACCAGCCAAAACTATAGTACCTCCGCCATGTTCTGGGCCATCCCATGAGCCTTTTTCCAATGGGGCATGCATGGAACATCTCCCAAGGAAGGTGCCTTGGGGCCATCTGTAACACATGGCCAATCCATCACAGCTGACTCCTCTCAATTTGGAGAAGCAGAGGCTCCTCTCTGACTCAATTTTGGACGGCAGAGCTTTACATCTTATATCTATGTGATCTTCATCACAGCACATGCTCTAGGTCTCAGTTGGTGGGAGCGAGATCTCCCAAAAATACATCTTGCAGGAAGCCAAGAGATTCATACGCCTTGATATCGAAATGTTTCAGACCAAGGAAATGCAGTGATGTGTATGATGTCAATATGTCAACCAGAGGCGGAAGACTGAAGCAAAATAAACACAGCAGTGCTAGTTTCAGCTGGAATATGTTCTATTTCTTTTTTTAAAAACAAGCAAAAGGATGCGAAGTGTGCCTTTTTAGATGGTAAGATGTATACACGTTCCTCCCGACCATATTTGGTAAAAGTTCAATTTACCAATTAACTCTGTGAAACAAATCAAGAATGTATTACATCTCAGCTTGTACTGCAACTATGATTGGCTTAAAACTCGACGGAAAATTGTTCAGTTCTGAATGTCCCTCCCTTTGGCGAACGTTTTCTACAGGAGGCTTCCTATATTGATAAATTAAGCTGAAAGAAGAATTCAGAATTCAACTTTTATTGTCATTACATTGTCACAAGTACAAAGCAAAAAAAATGAACTCTCTGCATTTAACCCATCCCCTTGAGGAGCAGTGGACTGCCATTGTGCAGTGTCAATTTAAGGCTCTTAGTCAGGGACACAGAGTAGCAGTCCGTGGAAGTGGGACTTGAACTCAGACCCTTTGGAACCCAAGCGCAATGCCCTAACCACTAGGCCACCACTCCCCTCTGCATGGATTAATCTGGCTTATGCCAAGTTCTGGCCACTAGCCTCACCAAGAAATCCTGTCCATTAAAGTTATGAACACGACAAAGGGCAGTTCTCCTGCGGTCCAGCTTAAGCTCCAACCTTCACATCCTAGTTGTGCTATAGAATAGATTTTTTGTGCTTTCGATCAAATACACAACTAAAGCCTATATGTTAAGGTAACCATTAGCATGCTTTGTTAGTTGTTTTGCCGCAAACATATGATGGTCTTTTCAACTGACCTACTGGCTAGCGTCTCCTGGTACAGTTTTGTCTATGAACATTATCCCTATGTATTCATTGTCTGGATTTGAACTCCAATTTCCTAATTATTTTTTGAACACATCTACTTTCCTCTATGCCTAATAAGCCTTTATCTGTTCTCTCATTAAATTATTATTCCCTTATTGTTATTCCCCACTATAAGTGAGTTTGTTTTGTTTTTAGGGAGCCACGATAGCTCATCTCTTACTCGTTAATATTTCTGTTTGCACCTCAATTTATTCTGTCTTTTATTTTTCCAGAGGGCTCTTGTTTTACTTACTCTGCATTACATCTTTTAAACATCAAATTGCTGTTTTTCCCTCGTTGCTTAGGTATGAGCCTTTATTGAGGGACCTCTTATGCATGTTGTTTGCCAGACAAGTGCGTCTGTGTTTTCTCTGTGTTTGTCATGAAGTGTTTGTTTTGTGGGGTTAGGATATAGGAAGAGGGTAGGATGGTTAGTTGTATCTGCTCTCCTTGCCTCATCATGTGCCTCATTAACTCCAGATGCCAGGCCCTATTCAGCTCCACCCCTTTAATCCGGCTCAGCACACACCCGCCCACCCACACAAACACACAAATACTATTACCAAAATGGAGCGAGAAGCTCATAGACTACCACATCATGACCTGCAGCAAAAAAAGCAGAAAAAAGAGAGCACAAGAGAGAGATGAGAAAGGAAAGAGGGAATAAGATAGAAAGTAAAAAGGGTCTGCTTTGAACATTTCTGGACAGTTAAGAAGTTCCTCCCTTACTCCTTCCTTAAGCTCCTCCATTGTGCAAATGTCCCTCTCTTCCACTTCCCTTTTCATACTCCTCCTACTCTCAATTTACCAGTCTGTGATCTACTGGTGCATAAAGTGGAGAAGGATACTCTGGACGTGAAAAGTGTACTGAGTTGATGTCTGCTTTAAAGCAATGGTGTGTGTTAAGGTGCGAACACTCCAAGTTAAAAGTAAAACAGGATTTAAAATGCATTTTATTTTAACCTTTAGTGCATTGTTATGTTGTGGCTACATTTTATAATTGCAAAGATTTTGTACTACTTCCCCCTACACCTTTCATATTATCTTTTGTTTTTCTTTTTCCACAGTTTTGCAGCAATATTATTTCTAAGAAACAATGCAAGTTGAATATACCAACAGACACCCCACCAATCACGATCCATCTTTTTCTCCTTTTCCTCTTAACTTTTTCACCCCCTCTCTGTCTTCCATACAGTGTGGAGCATGATTTCCGACAGCAGGAAGGACGTTTTCAAGGGGTAATTGAAGCCCTAGAAGGGGAATATGATGTGCCTGCCCCAACTCAGACCAAGCCCACACCAGCTCCTTTGTCCTCCAGCCGCCCCAGCACCAAGGCACGTGTCAAAAAACTGCGGAAGAAGTGTTTCTGGTGGCTCTAAGTGTCAAAATCTAATACATCTTCCTGGGCAGCAGGTGCATAAGACCCTTGATTTTATTTCACATGAGCCAAAACTTTCTGCTGCTGAGGAACTTTTTCATACAGATGTACAAAGAACCCAAGTTTGAACATATTGAAACCAATATGTTTTTTCTTACATTTTCCATGTAATAGGATTATTTTCACAGCTTCTCATTCAAAGGCCGGACAGAATACAACATTGACCACAGAGAAGAAAAATGGGGATGGAAAGAAATGTTTATCCTAATGAGAATGAGATTCTCAACCTTAGAAGATGACCCCTTCTGCAGCAGGAAAAAAACGTAAGGAGTTGATTTCGCAACTAACTTACAATTAAAGTAATGAAGCTACTTTTTAAACCAAAGCTGTAGAGGATAACTGAGAAAGACTTCTGATATCAAATGGATTGAGAAGCCAGCCAGCTACATGGATTGACAGATCTATGGAAGGAGACGCAGCAATAAGCAGCAGACATGATGTAAAACCAAGGAAATAAACTATTTGGGAAATTCATTTGGAAGCTTTTTTGCTGAAATATGAATGTACAACCTTTAAATTACTAGAGACATGTTGGGGAATAGAAGCAGATGACCCATGTGGAAACGGTGCGCTTGCTCAGTGGATCAACAGCATAATAGAGATTCCACAACGAATACATTAAGAGACAATGTGATAGACAGTTGATGAAAGACTGACAAGTCTGTGTCAGATTATTAAAAAATTCTGTCAACACCGACTGACAGAGTGATTGATTTTCTCTCTTATTTTTCAGCAAAAATTGAATTTTTTTCTGAGGCTTAATTTCAATTCAAGGAGTTTCACACACTATGCATACAGATACTTCCACAAAAAGGGTTTATGACCACCAAATTACACTGTTTAATAAATCAACTAAATTCCAAGACATAACTTTTCCTACATATGCATGCATAAAGGTCACCTTTATTCTACTTGTGATCCAGACCATCTGTGGTAAATGGTAATTGGCCTGTGCTTGTATAGCACTTTATCAAGTCCAAGGACCCCACAGCGCTTCTTACCACACTGTCACTTTGTTTTTAAAACCTAGCCATCATTAATAATGTAGAACTGTTAGTGGGGCCAGTATCATAACATTGATTTAATATAAATAGGGAATCTAAAAGTTGAGTTCTAATTTCTTTCTTGCATGAATCGAATTGTACAAAATGATTTTCATTTGGAAATGTTTATCAGAATTAACAAAATTAAGTAACTACTTAAACTTGCCATGTTCAATATTGGAGGATGCTTCTTTAACCACAGAGCACTTCTTCTTGTGAAATGATGCCACACTTTTATAAAATGGCAACGCAATCACAAGTAACACTGGGAAATATGCATAGAATAGTGAAAGTAAAACATGCACGTTCTACATGTTTCTATCCTCATCCCTGAATGTGCAAACGGGGCTTTCTTTCTACTGGCACATTATTGTGCCATGCTTGCTCTAGAGCCATGGAGGGTACAACCACTAATCTTACAAAGGCCTACTTCAGCATCCTGTGGCTGACAAGTTGCCCCCAATTAAAATCGTGGATGACAGCACACTTACTAATTATCCAATCTATATCAATGTCATAGTATTTTTATAATCTGTCCCTTTACAGTGCGTGAGCTCCAGCAAAGCCCTTTCCTCTGATCTTCCACTTGTATGTCGAATAAAATGTGTAGTTTGACAACAAAAAAAAAAGTTGCTGTTGTGATTATGCTTTGTATTTCAGAATGACACTGATTATTCCACAATAATGTAGTGAAGGTTTTCTTCAGGTTAACAATAGACGAAATATGATCTTTAAAACGCTTCATAAATTTCCATAAAGCCAATCTACAACAAAGAATGTAAGGGTTCATTAACTATCAAAATTCTTTACTTTTCCAGACTCAAATTTTTAGGGTTTTGAGTAAATATGAGGAAATATTTTTACCATGACTACAAAGTTCTGACCAAGTTACAGGAGAAAGTGCGTGTTTTAAAAACATCTTATGGGATGGATGGATGGATGGATGGATGGATGGATGGATGGATGGATGGATGGATGGATGGATGGATGGATGGATGGATGGATGGATGGATGGATGGATGGATGGATGGATGGATGGATGGATGGATGGATGGATGGATGGATGGATGGATAGGAAAAAAAACAATTATGGAAGTACAAAAAAATTCCTTCTTTGATGGTTGTGCCGACAAGGAAATTACTTTTATTCAAGTCAATGTTGTTCCATTTCTTTTCACATGTATCGTAACCCTGGATCTAAATACGAAGGAATGATAGTATATACTTACAATCAGCGCGTGCTCTCGGCCCATTGTGATGACTGTTCTGTTGATTATCCGCAGCAGAGACACCACTATGTCCTGAATATGCTGAAATGTTTCTCCCTGACAGAAACAGAAGATAAAAAATAACAATGGCAAAAAGAATAAGATCCAGAAATTAAATCAAAGAATAAAACAGGTCTAACATTTGTCTGATGCAAAGCAAAAAATAAACAGAGATTATAGTACTGTACACTACAAAAAAATCAAAGTGTTACTTAAATTTGCAAATGTTTTGAGATTTTATCTCAATCACACTGTCAGAATGTTTCAGAGCTCCATGATGAATTTACAAATGTACACCCATAAGATTGATGTCATTATTTACATTATAGAACTCTATCTAGCACAATGGCTGGTCTTTCAGAATCAGAATCAGAATCGGGTTTATTGCCATTGTTAGTGAAGAGGTTCACAACTAGGAAATTTTTGTGGTACAGTCGTGCAACATGAAACATATATGAAATAGTAAATAAAATTATAAAAATCTCTAAAAACACTAGGGTATAAGGCATGCAAAAAATATACTAATATATACACTTAAAGCACACAAAGCCTTTGCAGGCTTTGACAGCATGGGATCACAGATCGAGGGGTAGGGGCCTTTATAACAAACTGAATGATATATGTCAAAGCTTTGTGTTAAGATCCTCGTGATGGCTGTCCAAATATATTTAGCACGTGAAATGCAAACAATGCTGCTATGTTAACTCCTCAACGTGTCATGTTCACTAAACATTTCTGCATACGGACCAGAACAAGATTTAAAGATCAATAAGTTGTACATCTCCTCTTCCACCATCTAATTCATGGTGCTGCTGGTCCCTATGCTGAGAAAGCAGCACTCTATTTGTCGTCCTATTCTCCCTTTGCATTTTATTGTCAATCAAATAAATCATAATGAAACCAGGATGGGGAGGGTCAAGGTTTCTTAGCTATTTATCTTTAGCTGTCTGATATACCTAAGAAACACATGGAGGACTCTGACTGGGTAATCTGGATTTGGTTTCAATGGTGTTGATTTTTGCCGCCATCCATTTGTCTTGCTTTTAATTTGTCAATTTATTTTTTAATATACTGTTTATTTCTAAAAAATGCACAGATTGACAAAGGCTGATTCTGAAAACCAGAGGTGAACCAGTTTTCATTGGGGTGTCCAATTAGGGACAAATGTTCACTAAGGAATGGGGGAAAACATAAAGGCACTATAACCAGTTCAGGGTCAATCTACAATATTCACACTGTGAAAACCAAAGACATTGAATGAGCGCACCCTCCAAGTTTTTCAAATAAATCCTGAGGACAGTCTAAGTTTTCCTTTTTAAAAAACATATGCATTTACTTTCACATATATGATGTCTAAAATAAAGGTATATTGCACAATCCTTTTTTCTTCGAGCTCCAAGATGACCATCTCATCTATTTGTTTTCCCCCATACCTGCCAGTGGGTGTACTCTTGCTGTAAAAAGGACACTTTTAGAGTTTATGCATCCAGTTAGCTTTGGCTGTAGCCCTGCTGCTCTCATTGTATACTTTGAAAATGGCCGAGAGTCACCAGAAGGGAACTGTTTTACAATTTTAAGAAAAAAAAATTTGACTTAAGTGCTTCTTACCTACATTTCCAGAAAAAAATCACCATATCTTTAATCCATCACGGTTCTACATAATATTAGATTATAGATACATTTAGACATAACGTACATCAAACTGGTTGAGTTTTTAATCTTTTATTACATAAGCGACTCCTATGGGACTATCCCATTACATATAGGGTGATTAGTGGGGGGAGGCGCACTCAGATAGAGCTATACTACTGTTTCTTAGGTTAACGTTTTAGTCTCAAACAAAACAACAAAGAACAACAATTTGAAATTTGAAAGTAATTTTAGTTTAAAGAAGTTCCCACCACAAAATAAGTGATAATGTAAGGCAAGAAGAGTGAAAGGCTTTTCCATACATGCATGTGAATTGTCAGGTCTTTTTCATCCCCACCATATTTTCTATCCCTTTGAACTTTCTTTCTTATTACATTTCTTTCACTTCTTCTGTCCAGAGGGAAATGTTGGGGGGGAGATGCATTAACCAGGCATGTCTATCCTTCTGATCAGATTACTGTATCATGGTAAGAGAGAGCCTAAAGGTTTAAATAACTACATTTCAAGTTTAGATATAAAAAAGAATAAAGTAAGAGTAGTACCATATATCACATAAACTGTATTTTGTAAGTGGACATAGTATTATTATTGATCTTTTTTTCCTGGATTGCACAGAGTCACATACGGTACCAAAAATAACTGAAAGAGGTCATAGTTTACCTATGCAACCTATAAATCATGTCACACATTGCTTTTGGTGTCGACATGCTAGGAAAAGTAGCTCTGCCCCTGTCTAAAGCCCTTTATCAACTCTGATATAACAAAATCAGACCAGCTTTCAAGTTCTTATTGCCATTTTTATTGCCGTTCTTCCACCAAGTGCCAGGATTGTGGAGTGAATAATTTATGGAGCAGCAGATTTCTGCGGCTAGGTTAGGTAAGGTAAGCTTAGCTTATGTAAACATGTCTGTATAGATAATTGCATAACACACTTTGCACTAAATGACAAATCAAACAGTACCTTGGGAGAAATCAAAAACCTTGAGGTACTTTTTCACAATAATAGTTTATTAAACATCTGAACATTTTATTCCCAAATTGTGTGGTGGGTTCCCCTTTGTTTTTTATACTGTTTGTTCAGGGATATGATTTAATAAACCACTGGGACCTTCACAGCACTGCTGTACTTGTCAAATTAAATTCAAAACAGATGGGCTCTATTTAGTAATTAGGTCTGTTCTTCAGGCTTTTTTGCACTTCATTTTTAGATAATAGAGTAAAGGTGGTTGTATAAACTTGTAAAGTATTACAAAAACACTTATTTGTTTTGCACTACTGTGTGTGGGTATTTGATGTGATGAAATGTCAATATTTGGACTTGGATGCTGCCTAAACAATATAAGCTATAAGGTGGCACAACTTTTAACAGGTTAAAGAGTTTATATAACATGTAAATATTTCAAAGAGGTTAGGCACACCACATATATACAGAGACAATGTAGATTCCAAATAAAAACTTAAAGTATTTCATGAAAATAAATTGGTTAGCAATTTATTTTTAGTTTCACTTTTTAAACCTTTGGAAGGACCTAAATACTTTTTTAGCATTTATAGAAACCCTTAAACAAACTATATCTGTCCTAGTGTTTTCTGATCTCTAGTTTGGCGACTGCTAAGAAAATATTTTCAGTTAATATAAAGTTGGGACCTGCTAAATATTTTGTTTGTAACACTGTACATGCATTTATTCTTGCATGAGATCATTGGTTGTATTTAAACAGTTAAAAGTAAAAAAAT